TTCAAGTTCCTTTGCAGTCCTTCCTTCTCGGCTATCGACGACAGATCGGAGCTAGGTGCAAAGCTCTTAATTCCTTCAAGAACTTCCCACAGACGGCGCCAAAATGATGGGTCTCCTCTCAGATCTGGAGTGAATCAATGGAAACAAGCTTAGATCTGAAATGAAATGGTGGAAATGAGCTCAGATCTGACTCGATCGCCTTCGAACCATTGCTGGACTGTGAGAACACCTGCAAGAACTTAACGCCGGAGGGGTTTCCGACGTAGAGCCTCCGACGCTCAAGTCAGTATGTGAAGGAGATGAAGAGAGCTGCTCTCAGAGAGCAGCAACAGTAATGGAGGAGAGTATATAATGAATGGGAGTTAGGGTTTTGGGGTTACCTCAGCTCCTTGATATAAGAGCAAAACAGTTACCTGCAGTCCTCAAAATGCCCCGGCCGACTTACTGGAAATGTCCAAAATACCCTGGTCAGTTCGCATTCCGTCCATCTCCTAGTCAGCATCTAGATTCCTTCTTATCCTCAATAGCCTCCTTCTTATCTGACAGCTTCTCTATGACATGTTAGAGTGTACTAGAGTCGTCGATGGTCTTATAAACCTCGAGGCTTACTCAGTCGACTCGGTATATCAACTCGAGTCGATTGGGTCATCTTCGATCGTCAGTGGACCCTGACGCGCTAGTCGACACGTGGAAGTCGACTAAGAGGGATGCCTAGACCCTTGACTGGAGATATTGTAAGGAGTTCGCGGAAAGAGTCGACTTTGGATAAGTTGACTCGATAATCTCTGAACCGTGATAGTACGGTCCGTTATACGATAGTATGGCTATATCAGTAGGTCTCCAGAATATTCCCAACCCATAAAGTGGTCGATCTATTGAGGTCGAGTCGACTGGTCGACTGCTCGACTACTTGATTGCTCGACTACTTGGCTGGTTGACTACTCGACTGGTCGATCTTTTCGCTACTGGATCGGCTTCCTCACTGTACAACATCTTCGACCGGTTTGGCAGACCGGTTTAGCCTTGGGTATAATATCCCATATCAGCAGCTACTCTTGGCTCGACCAGGAACAACGCACGTCTGGTGAAGCTCGGTGACCACGAACAGTAACAGCACGGGTCCGGTCAACATTGACGGCTCACAGTGACGATGGCAGACTCTCGCCGGGATAAACGGTGCGCGAGCAGCGAATGGAACGCGACTTGCCGATGGGGTAGCGAGTTCACCGGGACCGCTGTGATCACTCTCGGGAACAGAGCAACAAAAAGAAGGGTTCTCGCCGGAACTGGTTCACCACGGCGATGGCGCGGAGGAGCTGCAGTGGACCTGCTTGAGGGGACCGTGATGAAGATGGATTACTCGTCGGTGCTGCGCAGGGTTTCGCCGGGGAAGATGGACTGCTCGCGACGGTGATGGTCTGCTGCGTGCCGGACGATGGTGGTGCGCTGCAGATTAAGATGGCCGACGATTGAATGATGGCGGTGGTGCGGTGATGATGATGGTGCGAGCAGGCTTTATTTGAGCAGCGAGCCAAAGATGATGATCGCTTGGTGACGACGGTGACGATGTTGTTGCGAGGGGGAGAGGATGGTGATGATCGAAAGTAGTTTGGCGAGAGAGAAAAGCGAGAATGAGGGTTTAGCAGATAATGAAAAAAAAAAAACGAAGCTGTGGATAATTATTTTGTGCTGAGGGTTTAATCAAGCTTAAGGGGAGAAATCTCTCCTTAAATAACATTAGGGTTAGGATGTATTGCCCTTCAAGACACACACACACACACGAGAGAGGGAGAGAGAGAAACAGGGTCGGGCTCGGCCGATTCGGTTCTCTCGATTCAAAGACCCGACTTCTCAGTTCTTCAATAAAAATAAATCGAGGCTTGATATGGACATTTGATAATTAAATAAACCAGGATAATTATATATATATATTTATATATATAACACATTTTAATATTATTAATAATACTGAATTAAACATATTTTAATTAAATATAATACACATAATGATATTTATTAATAATACACATTAATCAGTTAGGAAAATTAGACATTTATATAAATATTAATAATAATAATAATAACAATCTATATCTATATATATATAATTGCTAGCTAATCATTAAATAAAACCTCATAAATAAAACTTATTTAATTTTACCTAATAAATTATACCTAATAAATACTACAACATTCCATATACAATGAACGTTACTTTTACAATTATTGATTATTATTGTACATTTATTATTATACATTGTAATGTTTCATTCTTTTAAATGGTATTTTCATCTTTTTATTTTCTTTTATGACATATAATAAAAACTAAATAAAATTTAAAATAATCTATATATATAATTAGGGATTATCACATCAATAAAAATTTGCATATTCCACTCTCTTTATATATATATATATACATAGTAGCTTGGTTTTTTTACTTAATATGTAAGCATACTAATGCTGAAATTAATTGTTTGGTTTTATCCGTTCATTTAATAATTCTAATTTTAATTCTATATATTTTTTAAATAGAATGATAACAAATTATTCTACCAAAACCCGTGGGTATAATACAAAAATAGAAAATAAAAATAAAGCAATCGTTCTTATAAAAGACAATTTGTTGTTGGCTAAGAACATGTTAAATTTTTTAAAAAATGCATTCGTTTAAATAAAATTAATGATGATAATAATAATAATAATAATAATAATAATAATAATAATAATAATAATAATAATAATAATAATAATAATAATACCAATAACAATAATAATAATAATAATAATATTAATAATAATAATAATAATTAATGTATTTTATATAAATATCATACCCGTTATGATTATATTTATATTCCTATATATATAACTATTGACAAAGAATTTATTGCAAAAATAAAATCAGCGCATTTTATTCAACTAACCGTTGTTTTGTGACCCAGACCGGCCCGACGGGTCGACCCAGGACCCGGTCGACCCAGAGCCGAAACCGGTCCGGGTGGGTTATTTGGACTGAGTAACAATGGACCCGGTCAAAACCCGGCCAAACCGGCCTTGACCCGGTCGACCCAGGTCATTGACCCGACCGGGTCAACCCGGTTGACCCGGTCTCTATAAACTTTTTATTTTTTTTTATAAAAATTAAAAACTATGTGTATATAATGACGTAGTAAATATTTATTGTGGTAGATAACACAAGAGGTGCGCGCTCTATCAATTTCTAGCATTCTGTATATTTTTTTCTTTTATCTGAGAATTTCTTGTATTTTCATCTAATCATTTTTCTTTGTACCTGTTGTCACAAGCTCAATCGCTGCTCGGATAAGGGCTTGGAAATCAACGCCTCAATTACATCTTCCAAACTTTTCCTGAACTGAACAAGCAAGGGATTAAGCAACTAGCGCGAAAGCCGTTGCGCGTTCAATGTCAGAAGAAGGGTAGCTATACTGATTCGGTATACTCTAAAGATGCCCTCGAGCTAAGATACTAATTCGAATCTGTACTGGTGCAGATCCGTTTACGCTTATCCTTTGACCTGGCTCGCAGAGATAGATAGCTTCGCTAGCTTGCTCGCTTCAGTTACATTGATTAGTCAATGAGTTTGAGTTCGGAAGGAAATAAAGTAATGAGTCAAGGGTCCCTCCGTGGATAGGTTTTTCCCTTTCCTGCTACTGAGGCGCTTTTCCAACCGTTCTTGTAATAATAATAATAACAACAACAATCAATTAAACAATTAAGGAAAATTAGGCATTTAGTAACAATATTTATAATAATAATTATAATAGCAATAATTAATTAGGCAATTAAATAATAGTAACAATAACAATAAGGACAATAAATAAGAAACTCAATTATTTCAAATTCAAACGGGGTATTACACTTATGCATATATTTGTCCGACTCGAATGATACACATACATATATTTGCTAGAAAAGAGCAACAGTTAGCTACTCCAGTACCAAGAAGTCATCACCAAAAACAGAGATATGAAACCAATTTTCCAATATAGATAATTATATTTAATTGTTTCACGTGGAAAGAACAACAATCAGCTACCCGAGTAAAAAAATTGAGTCAAATCTTACAAATTGGTTACGTCCTGTTGACAAACGGTCAAAATGGTGCAAATTTACAATGCTCGACAGGTCCTTAGATTCAACCAGATCATATCTATAGAACTTTTTTAAGTTCATCTTTCAGGACATCCATTTGAGATACGCGTCAGGTTTTTAATAAAATAGAACAACACACAATAGTAAACATTTTAGAAGCATGCAAATAGAAAATATGAAAAACCTCGTTCACCAGTTTTGAAGCATATGTTTTTGTAGTTAATTATAATAAGGTGAAATACAGGTCAGACCACTATTGCTTTCCCACTTGCCCGAAATAATTTGTTTTACAGCAACCTTCCCATATGTACCACCACATGAGATTTGTGGCCGAGCTCCAAAACAACGTGCGTAAGATTATTTGCAGTAGCACTTGATACAACACGTCCCACCTT